TCCGCGAATAGTCGCACAGTCAACAACCGATACGGTGTAGGATTATTCCTATACTACACGTATGCTACACTCTTCTTTTTTTGATTTTCTTTTTGTTTCCTGAGCCCACGCCTTCGACCATCCCCGTTTGGTTCCGTCGACTTCAGTCAACTTTGGCGAAAGCTGGCCTGATCACCCATGCTCTTGTCAACGCACTCAGTCGATATATTGGTTTCGAATGCTTGGCACACGCTTGGTCACGAACTTGGTCGTAACGGTCGCTTCTGGCCTTTTGGCTCAACGTGGTTTCGTCCTACGTCTGCAGCGTTTCTGGTGCGCACCTCTACGAACGCCCTCTTCAGATTCTGGATACAAACCACTCTGGTGTAGCATGCCAACTCAAGCAACAAATACAGCACATCGCTCCTGGTACCGTTCTCCGATAACGACCTTCGTTGGCAACTCGACGATCAACGATCGCTTTCCTGTTCGCCAATTCTTCCGTCCTACAATCGCTCATCAGCCGATCAGTCCCACGATTCAAACCGCTATTTATCGAAAGTGTAAACCCTTTCTAGCGGGGGGCTCCTGTAGTGACTCACGTTTATCACGAGAACACGACTGGTTTAATAAAAACAATTATTATTACAACCAACTGTACCAGTGTTTGTTTTAATGTGCTTTTGTTTGACTGTGCTAATGACAGCTATTTTCTGCTTCCATTCTTTCGCTTACACTTCGATTGTAACTTCGCGCGAATTCGGTTACCTTCTGTAACCAAGCTTGTATCCTGGCACGATCTCGGTATCCTTTCGATGCCACGAGATCGCCAGCAAATAAACATCGACTTGGTCCATTAATTGCCTTCTGGTATTCGGCTTCTCGGGGATTTTATGGAGTCATTTGGAACGAGCTTCTTACGCCTTTTGATCTAATTGGCACGTGTTTCTTGGTAGCGGTGTTCTTAGTTAATCCCAACTCGACGCCACGCTACAGGTTCATGGCTTTCGACAACGGTTATGGGTAATTCGGAATCCCAGAATTTGGAAGAAGACAAATAACGGATGCACCTGCATTATTACAAACAAGGTCAACAAAAGTCTCTGAATATTGGTTACGATAATCTCATCGACCGAGACACGGTGGTCTTCACCTTTTGTCATGGTTAAGTCCAACTTTCAATGATTTCACTGACTGATGCTATGTTTTGGTTTGAAAAGCAATGACGAAAGACTGGTTTAACTAAATCTAACCCATTTATCATATAAAAAGATCGGAGGTGACTTGATCACAGGTTTCAAATTAATGATGGGTTCGCATCTTCCACGCCCTCGCTTTTATTATCTTACTTTCCGAGCTGAAAGTGGAACTGGAACAGGTTTTTCATCACAAATCAGCTTCCAAAAAGAGACAAATTTCACACTTTTCGCTTCATTATCTCTATGATTGATAATATTCTTGTGCAGAAAATTGAAATTAATCTATCTATTAAGGGCAGGTTGTGTAACATAATGACTTAACTGAGTACCCTAATACAGTAAATTTCATAGCACATATAACATTCTGGAGTTGCCAGCAGTTTCTATGATCTTTCCATTTTGAGCCCTGATCTCACCCTGCCATTTTTTATGCATTATCCAAAGGCCGAAGGTTATCGTCTGAGCCATAATAAATCCGGTTTCGGTAGTCATTTACCTGAAAATCTATGTTATTACACCGTCGCTATAAATCCTTTGAAACAATAGGATTAGAAATTTGGGTAACTGTGGTTCGGAGATACTCGCAGTCTTGCCTTAACATAAAGATTCGAGAACGAGGTAAGCTGGTGTTGAAAACATTGTACATAGGAACTTTCCGCTTTTTGTTATTATCGTTTGTTTCTTAGTTTCCCATGACCTTAAATTTTTGAAAACTATTTGAAGTTGTTTGAAACCTCACGTTATCGAAACCTGGTTTTGCTTATCAGGTTGTCTTAATCTCATGAATGTGTCATTCATAGTTATTTTCATTTTGTATGCTTGTAAGGTTGTCGACTTAATTTATCCCTTATTTTTTGGTTAGATTGTCGTTCACGAACAACCTAGTGTGCTTCAAAAATGACATACTTGCTACTGTTGAGAGTTTAGGGCCAGTATGTATGGTATTACTTCGGGGTTGCGAATTACATTTACTGTTTAAATGATGACCTTACATTAGCTGTGATGCCAAAATGCTATATAGGCCTATGGACTAGTCCATGTTATGATTTAGCTAGTGAGTCTTGCTCCAAAATCCAATAATTTCTATTCGAAATCTCTTTATTTCGTCTAATTTAGTCTCACCGTTCTTCTCTTTCCTAAATACTTCCATATACTGCCACTCAACCTCAGCACACTAAGCACATTCGATTTAGATGTGATCCTCTCAGACTGAACGTTATACTTTATTACGGATCCAAATTATCATTTGTTTCTTCTTGTTGTTGTTTTACTGTTAGTCCCATAATATGAAAGATTTTTATCAGTCGCTTTAAATATATGATGTTAGCCCGTCTTATGTGCATACTGATCCACTGGCTCACTTTTCCTCCTGTTTCCCGAGTTCTCTTCACTGACACCATTCGCCTTCAGCACCCAAAGTACCTTTATGTCATGCAATCCACTAATTTGACAATAATGTATTAAGGGAAAGGAGTATACTGTGATATAATGCTGATTATAACCAAATAGTTTGTATGTTCATGGAATGTTTCTGGTCTGGAAACCTTCACTCTTTTAAGGTCTATAGGGATAATTATCAACACAAAATAAATGAGCTCAGTCAACTCATCATAATAAAAATCGTCTTTGGTGGTTAGTAATTACGTTCTTCTAGGTCTTAAGAAATTTCTAGAAACGGCTGGTGAATAATAAAGTTGGAATTGGCTTTTCCGATATGTAAGAAATGTTCGATGTGATGTATCGGACAGTCATCGACCAAAACTCCTCACTTGAACAATTATTATTGGCTTCACCAGTTGGTGCGTTTAAGAAGCTGTCTTCTTAAGCATGCACACAGCAAAGACTTGGTTTATTTATCTTCCGCAAGTCGGAAACACTCATAAACAAATCCCAAACTACGTCTAAACATAATCTAGCTAGTGTAAAGTCTTTGACAGATAATCTACTATGCACATTGTAAACAATCATGCAATGACAACCGTAGTCTTAAAGTCCACTGCACAGCGGAAATTACCGCCTAGAAACATGTGCAAACCTTGGGAATCCACTTCAACATTTTGTAAGGCAACCTAGAGATAAACAAAAATGGAAAATTTGAATCTGCCTGGTGTCTTTGTAGTCGAAACTAAACGTAACGCACCAGTCACAAACTCAACAATAAAGCTAGGGATTGAAAACTTATCTCAGAAACCTGGATCCCTTAAGAGATAAGTGATATCGAAGTGCGAATCCCGGGCCACCTACTCTGCACAACTGACATATTAAGTTACAGAGGCATAACAATCATACTGTATGCGAAAAATAACATCCAAATAATCTGTGGAGATAGTGAAACAACAGAAAAAAAGCATAAAAACTAACACAGGATCATGCAAAACTAAAATAATATTATGCTGAATTGACCTTACTATAGTAAACCTTCAGATGGTAGGCTAATGAATTCCCATTTAACTGTCTAAAATCCTGTTCGAATTTATGTAGGCGACTTCAGTGGGCCTAATTATTAATACGTTCGTGCAACGAAGCCGTTTACGAACTTTTGCCACGAGTTATCTGTGTACCATTCCCTTACCCAACATCTAGGATGTAAGTAGAGCAATATGGTCGTTCAATTTCCAGTCCTTTGGTATTAGCGAAACTAGTTGCCTTTCTGAAGGGTTTCATTGATGAAACAGCACAACTACATATGCGCCAGTTGCTTCTGTCTTGTTCCCTGTCCGGTAATTCCCGATCATTTGTACGGTGCATAAAAATGGCTGATATTCATTGTTATTATGTGGTTAGTTCGATTGTTCATTTACTTTGGTCTTTGGATTTGCGTGTGCTGTTTGAAGCGTTCCGATTTGTTCGTATTGAATATGGGACGTTTGGATGTGCTTTTGTTCTAAAGATTTTAAAGTAGTCAATGAACGGACATTTGTGTTTGTCCAGGTTTATGATTATTAATTAGGCTGAGGCGTGATAGTTTCCGGAATGCTTGTTCATTGTTGCAAGCATTCTGTCACAGTCTTTATTCGTACATTTAGCCTATTCTTATAAATCGTTGGCTCATATTTATTATTTCTATTGAATCTTTTTTTTGGATGAGTGTTTCAAATAGTTGGGAGAAAGTTGCTTTCAGTGAATCCATGCACAGTTGTAGTTGGCGCATCCGACGTTTTGTGATTATTTCCGTTGTCTATTTGACTCTGAATAATCCTCTTTATTTTAGTGGTTGAGTTTTGGTCTTCAACGTACCATATATGGATTTTATTTTGCTTTAGTTTAGTCTCTAGGTCCGATTACTGTCTTTTATCTTGGAATTCTTTTGTCACACATTGCTTCCTATCGGCTACTTGGGACCATCCTCTGACATTTCATAAGCCAAATTTTGCTTTGTATAATTAGGCTTTTTGTAATCAGCAGAGCAGGTGACCAGTCTGATCGTCAACTAGCCCCTCGCTTTAGTTCATGGGGCGGGGTCCCACTAGCCAACAGCACCATGTAGTTGAAGAACAACAATTCTCCAGAAAATAATGAAATAGCCACTGACATGAACAAACAAGGGAGAAACAAATCAAAGATGGTCCTATTAGAAATAATTAAATAAAGTCTGAATAAGTTCAAAAACCATGCCCAAGCAGTATGTCGATGCAAATATGATAAGCATACATTAAATCACTTTTATTTAAAAAAACTATCGTAATGACCTCGGTGTTAGTGTAATATGAATAGTTTAAGTATTACATTAAATTCATGTGAGTAGTATAAAGTCATCTTCTGTACACTTTTCCTCCATTTAGAAATCAGTCTAAATCTGTTAATCACACGTGTGACCAAAATATGACGAGTGCAAAAAAGCAACCAGTAATCGCTTATATATATTCAACTTATTTTTAGTACGTTAATCCAAGAATTAGAGGGATATCAGGCGATGATGAAAAAGAAGTATTAAGAAAGCTACAACTGTTGTGTCGATACGATAGTGAGGTAAGTTACAACCACTGATTTATTTTAGAATGAAATGGTAAATTTAGAAACGGTTACAAACAAATGGAAAAAAGCAGCTTGGAAGGCACTACAAGAACTGATTTCTTTTTCTGGAGAGAAAACAACTGAACAAGAAATATTAAGTAAAGTGGGGATAGATCCTGCTACTATCACACTCAAACCAGAAGAATTGTAGTACCGGGCAAATAACTGTTTATATAATACATATTCACACTCCGATATGGTTGGTAATTTACAGAAAAAATTCGCTTAAGTCGCATGTGTCTAACCTAAGCATATAAATGCAATTAGAGTATATCTAGTATGTTTAGGTCTGCATCACACTCAACGGTTTATCTTAAACAGAAGCGTGTTTGTTGAAAAAAGTAAAATTTAAATGCTTCAGGCAAGGTGGTTTAACAGTTGCCGACTTTTCATTTTTGCTTATTTTTTTCCATATTTTTCAAAGTACCCACATTCTGGTCAGTCTTAGACAATGAATATATAACAGTCTAAATGACTACATTTCATATCAGCACAATGATAGGAGGTTGACCAGATGGCAATAAGAAGAGAAGAGATAATACCATTTGCAGTTGAAAGCTAAATGTAATGAATTATTTCAAAAGAAGTAAATCAGATTGAGAGGTGGAAAGTTTAGGATAACAATGGACCTGAAATTTAGAGTGAAATGAAATTATTGCAACTGTATCACTCCAACCTATTTCAAATTTTTCCCCAGCGTCTCCAAATACTGCGCGAGTTACATCCGGGAGGTATTCAGCTTAATCATTTGTCAGTTAACATTGTGGGTTAAAGTTGGTTGTGGCTAAGGGTGTATGAATTAAAACAAAACCAGCTTTTAATGCAGTGTGAATAATTGCTTGTGTCTTAAACACTTCTAAAGCAAATCAGCAGTAGTAGGTTAATTTAGGTCACTTGGATTCTCAATAATGTTGTCTTTTTCATCCTATGGGGAAATGAACCTCTAAAAGCATCCTCTTGTACACTTCTGGGTGCTGTAATCAAGGTTTTTAGTCAGTCAGTCAGCTACAACGTAGGACCAGGCACATATGTGCATCGGTCCAGGCTGCCATACCGCATCAGCACAACAAGATGAACACCGGATTCACAGCAGTGGTTAGGTCAAAGGTGGTAATATATAAGAGAAAGATTGCATATAGAGATATAGTACAAGAAGAAAGAATTGGTTCGTAGAAAGAAAGATATGAAGTGATTTTAATCTCTTAGTTTAAGGGAAGACAGGGAGTGTATACACCGACGCCATTGTGATCGATTCTGAGCCATGTCACCAAGAGTCTCCAACCATTGGTTACGAAAGTCACGCGGACCCCAACCAAGTAGTCTGCATCTACCAACATGGCTCAGACTAGAAGTTAGTGTCTTCAAGCACTGATGTCACGTTTTGGTTTGGCCGCCCCTAACTTTCTTCCAACCATCTCCAATACCGGATAGCATTGCACGTCGTGGTAGTCGGTGTTCAGGCATACCTAACACGTGGCCCAACCATCTCAGTCCAAGAAGATTCACAACCTTATCAACTGACTTACCATCATTCCCTAATACCCTGCGTTTAACCTCACTATTACTTACCCGGTGATCCCAGCAGATGTCAGCAATATTTCTGAGGCATCTGTGGTCAAATACTAATAGCTTACGAGTGTCTTCTACTCTTAATGGCCATGTTTCGCTGCCGTAAATTAAAACAGAACGGACTGCCGCGCAGTATACCCGTCCTTTTATTGATAGACGGATATCTCGCCTTCGCCAAAGGTGACGCAAGTTGGCAAAAGCCAAGCGAGCTTTTCGAATCCGTGCTAAGATTTCGTCAGACACCAACCCATTAGGGCTGATCAGACTTCCAAGATAAGTGAAGTTGTCGACGCGTTCGACTACTTCACTCCCTATCCTTAGTTCAGGTGTTGACGCAGACCAGTCCTGAAGCAACAACTTGCATTTCGAGGGGGAGAAGCCCATTCTGGCATTGTTGCTCAGTGCTACTAGAAGACTCTGCATTTTGTCAGCGTCTTCACCAAACAGGACTATGTCATCTGCGTACTCTAAATCGATAAGTGGACCTCCTGAATGGAGATCAATACCCGAGAACTCAGTCGACGAGAAAGTTATTTCCATCAGTAGATCTATGATGAAGTTAAACAAAAATGGGGAAAGTAGACAGCCTTGACGGACACCACTTGAGGTTGCAAAAGTAGATGACAGTTCGCCATAAGCTCTGACTCGACTAGTAGTGTTCGAGTAAAGAGCCTTCACAAGGTTTATGTACTTCTGTGGTACGCCTTTCAATGACAGACACTGCCTCAGAATCTCGCGGTCTACCGAGTCAAATGCTGCTTTTAAGTCGAGAAAGACCACCATTGTCGGACGTCGATAAGTATGCCTGTGTTCTAGGATCTGACGAATGGTGAATATGTGGTCGATGCAGCCACGACCAGGTCTGAAACCAGCTTGAGTCTCTCGTGTTTGCAGTTCACGAGTCTTAGTTAGGCGTCTGATAATTATCGAAGCTAGTATTTTAGATATTATATTAGTTAAACTAATCCCTCTGTGGTTGTCACAGGATGATTTTGACCCTTTCTTGTATATTGGGACGATAAGTGATTGTGACCAGTTAGATGGGATAACGTCTAACTCCCAGATCCTAGCTAAAATATTAGTCAACCTAATCGCTAAAATTGGACCACCATCCTTAAAGACCTCTGGACCAGCTGCCCTTCCTCGTTTCAGATTAACTATAGCCTTTTGAACTTCAGCAAGAGTTGGGGGACCTACTTCAATGTTCCATTCACACTGTCTGGGAATGGAGGGTAGTTGTAGAGTAGCTGAAGGCCAGTTGAACTGTTCTCTGAAATGTTCCGCCCATCGTTCTAAACGTCTGGACTGGGAGCAGATGAGAGTATCGTCTTTTTCCGATATAATCTCACTTACACTTGACTTATTAATTCCAGTTTCTTTTATTAGTCTGTAAAGCTGTCTTGTGTTCCCTATAGTCGCCGTCTTTTCCATCTCTTTTGCTTTCATTGCCCACCACTGCTCACGGTTGTTTCTTAGACTTTTTCTTAACCTAGATCTGATTTGTTGTCGCTCTTCATCATGTTCGGAACCTGATGGGACGAGTTTGCGAGAATCCATCAGTGTGATAGACTTTGAAGAAATCCACTGGTTCTTTGTAACCCTTTGGTTTAAATCACTGATAGATGTCACTGCTGTTTCCACAGCCGTTTGTATTGCTTTCCAAGCAACAACTGGGTCAACCTCGTCTTCAGAACTACCTAATCGTGACCTCAGTTGTTCCTGGAACCTACTTTTGGTTTCCTCGCTACTCAGTTCGGTTCTAATGGGTTTTTTACTGTGGCGTTTTTGCGTCCAGTGAGGCGCAAGCAGATGCGTGCCCGTATTAGGGCGTGGTCGGAGTCCAAGCAGGTACTCCAGAATGAGCGACAATCTTCTGCCGACCCTCTCCAACGATGACTGATGTCAATATGGTCTATTTGAGTCCATCGTTGGTTTGGTGTAGGGGGTCGCCATGTTAGACGATGTCTCTCCTTATGCTTAAAATTTGTGTTTGCTAAAAATAAATGATTGTCTGAGCACAGTTGCAGCAGACGATCACCATAATCTGTTCGTTGTGCCGGAATACCAAAATACCCACCTAAATGCCTTTCTGTTTGGCTTAAACTACCTACCTGGGCATTAAAGTCACCCCCTATGAGTACTATGTCTGAGTGTTTAGCTTTCTGAAGAAGTTCAGAAAGCTTTCTGTAAAATTCATCTTTCACATCATCTGAGCTGCAGTCAGTGGGAGCGTAGGCAGAAACGACGAAAAGGCAACGACGTGTATCCCTATCTTTCCGAGTTCTTACGGAGCCGTTTAACCGAACAACACATAGACGACTGTTGACGGGGATCCACTCTAGCAGTGCTTGTTCCGCCCTCATGCTTAGTGCTATGCCTACACCTGCCAGTCCACGAGAACTGGCCATCGGGTCACCAGATACACGGAGGGTGTATCTCGTTGGCTCTACGTTTTGCCGAGGTGAGGTCAAGTGAATGACCACACTGGAATCGTGTATGCGTGTTTCGGAGACACAGCATACATCAATGGAAAGAGACTCTAGGGTTTTAGCCAAGGAAGCCTGCTGACCGATTTGACATAGAGTGCGTACGTTGAAGGCTCCAATGTGTAGTTTGGAGCGAGGTTTCAGTCGATTTGGGACAGGGTTTTGAGCACTAGAATCGTTGGCTATGGTGACACTTGAGAAGGAAGCCGAAACAGGAAGTTTAGAGTGGAAAGTCGATGTAGGAGGAATAATAGGAATTGAAGAGGAAGGTTGATTATGAATACAGTGGTCTCGAGTGCTGTTAGAGGTATGAGGGCTGATGTCACTTCCCGGCTGCCCATACCGTGGAAGGGTATTTCTTGAGGAACCTGAAAAGGAAATTGTATTAGTGTTGGTCTTAACGACCTGGGAGCGTGACCGTAGAGCCCAAGGGACAAATGCTTAAGGCCGGTTGCGCACGGCCTTTTCGTGGAAGGTTTTTGACGTGTTAGCTCCGTTCTTCAAAGGGCCTTACCACCGGAGACGGAAATCCGTGAGGTAAGGTGAGGTGTGACATTTTTAGGGTCGACCTTTTCTAACCCCACCCCTCATTGTGGGAAGGCAGCATCGCTGTCATGCTGGTTGTCCGAGGGAAACACCTTACTGCTATCACACCTCTGTACAGTCAGCAGTACGACTTCGCCTTCGGACCTTGGGTTTGTTGCTTTTAGTCTTACCGCTCTTCAACCGACCTGTCTGACATGGTAGGACCTTGAGGAACGGTTGTTCCAGCCAGTATATCTCGGTTGCTTCATCACGATAGGCAAGCCCGACCAAGGTTTTTAACAACAGATAAATTCGTCCCCCATTTTGTGCAACTAGATTACACCAATCTTAGTGATGTGGTAGGCTTCAGTCCCTCCTAAGCATTTAACGGCGGTATGATTCGTCTTTATAAAACTTTGCATGCAACAGAATAGGTTATTCTGTAGATATATTTATGCGAACCACACCTAATGTCGTGACTCTTTTTTAATGTTTGTTAATTTAATGATGTCTTTTTGTCCATAAGCCAGTCACTCTAGTTTTGATATATAAAACTATTGGTCTTTGTGTTCAGAGATAACATTTATCCGTATGATGTGCACTTTACACTATCGAAAAATTCCATAAGAACCGTAGGGAATATTTTTGAAATCCTGGCTAAAAGTAGAACTTAATTGGAAAGTACAGGCCGACGTGTTATTCAAGGTATTTATCGAGACTTAAAATTTACTGCGGAAAGATTTCAGTGTGTAATCCCCATGAACTGGATGAGTTTCCGACTTATAATTTCTGTAAGATTGTTGGTGTTTGCTACATATATTATGAGGGATAAATGGAAAGACCATGGTCGCTTTTTAGTGGTTCAGAATCAAATAATTGTTCATCAGCATTTTTTGCTTGACTGACGTGAACGAGTCTTCCCTTAACCTTAACAGTCAAGCTTGCGTACCAGTAAGACCATCGAGACTAATCCAACTTTTATTCCATGTGTCATACTCTAAGTCATTCTGAAAGTTTATCGTCTACTCCTGACCTTGTTGGTTAATCAACCCCTTCACACCAAGTTCTACTGGTTTCAAAGATTTGATCCTATGAATCATTATCCTTTTAATCTATAGTAATTACATGTGTCAAATAATTAGAAGAGCACTAAACATACTTCTTCAAGTCTGGGAGTAACATTTATATGGCAATAGACCAGTTGTAAAGGTAGTCCATATAGTCTGTTTTTAATCCATTTAACTAATTTGCAAATATCATTCACAAGATCATTTAATACAAAATATATTATGAAATGAAGAATTTTCACTTCACAAGAATATTTTTTGTATTTTGTACAGAGGATAATTATGCAGTCAGTGAAATCAATCGTTTGAAAAATAATAATTGTTCTCTAATCAAGTTTTAAAATTAAAAAAAGGATGATTGCACATACTTCATAGGTATTAAAGGTTTTGAAATTATTGAAAGAAAAAAAAACATATCACAGGTCGGTTACATCTTCTTCAATCAAATCTTTTATATAATCAGAACTGAATAATTCAGGTAGTCCACTTTCAGAAAACATACTACTGAAACTAGTATTCAATGGAAGTTGGCGCCAATCTTGTCCATCGTTATTATTGTACTTTAAGTCATTTGCTGTATTAAAAAAATTGAATTAGTTCAGTTAGTTGAATCAAATAATTGTCAATGAATAGGATGGACAGCGAGTTCATCATATCAAGATATAACGGTCAACGTAATAAAAAAATTGAAGATACTATTGAAATCGACCTGGAAACTAGGTTCTACCGGATTAGTTGTTCCATCTTAATTTAGAACCGTTCATGAGTACTTGCACAAAATAGAACCCAGAAACTTCAGATTAACCAGTGAGGATGATAACATTCAGTGAAATTATTTTAGTCGGTTAGACTAGAATACTTTATAGGGCACTAAGAGAAGATGACTTTCTGCAGTAAACATTATATTAATTAACTACTATAATATCCTGTTAGAAATAGGACCACCGTGAGTTTAAAATATATCTTGTGAATACTGTTGCGAATCGTTAGTAGCTTTGTAATATTTTCATTTTCTGATCAATCGTTTATCATCCGGTGGGTTTTGTAAAAATTGACAACTTCTATCCTCAACTAAAATTATTTAACTGCCCAGTAATCCTGTCATCTGATTTATGGGTAACATATTAGTTCGATAACTTCAGTTATTTTGTCAAACAAAATGAAACTTAATTAATTTCACGGTTGAAGTCTGTATTTCACCAGTGCTTTTTTATTACCCTACTTGGTGATGACGAATGTACTATATTGCATGGAGTCAGTTTCAAGGTAACTGTTCATATATATGTGAAGTTATTTCGAAAGGAAGAACATTTTATTGATTTGTATGTTAAACTCGGAAAGTCTATGCAATATAATAGTTGTTATGCATTATCGCTAATTAAAAAAGTATACACATATTTTCGGAATAATAATATCATGATAAGCAGTTTTCGTTTTTCACAGTGAACTTCTGCATGTAATCTTCCTTGTAGATAACAATGGAATTATAATGTCAAGAATGGGCTGTCCATCATACGGTCTTATTAGCTACTCGCATTTCGGTTTGTTTTACACGGGTCCAAAAGGTATTTACATATGAATATAAATAGTTTGATGTAACAAAAAAATTTTTTAAACATACTATTATCTGGCAAGTATTTGGAGTCACTTGTTTGATTAGCTTCAACAGAAATCATGTCATCTGCACCAAGAGAGAAAATAGGATGTTGAAGTGTTTCAAAATGTTCACCATAAGTACATGTAGATGGAGCAATATGCGTTGTGTCATTTTTATTGGATATACTAGTTACTGAACATTGTCCATTTGTTTCCTAATAAAAAATATTGTTAAAATGCATTTTACTATTTTAATACTAAAAGCTAACATACAAAAAGGCGATTTATAATTATTAAATTGTCATTTGCACCAAATTGAATTTTTACTTAATCATTAATGCCCTATTAAAGTCATACAGGACCAAATGAAATTTCATTACCTGCATAGATCTGTATGGAATATCCAAAGCATGAAAATGTCCATCCCCATCGGTTTTCGCTAGATCAATATGATGTTCATCTGTAACGTTTATTGTATCAGGTCTACAGATTGGTGTATTGTTAATGCTGTTGTTAGTTGTATGCTGACATGATCCCATTGAAAATTCAGTTGATTTCATTTTAGTTGTAGTGTTGTAGTTAAATGAATCGTTCCAGTCAAATGGAGCAATTGTTTCGTTATCAGTTACTTGTAATTCTGAGTACTCTTGTGATTTGAAAACCGGTGTCTGTGGTTCTGGTTTGGATTGAGTTAACGCAGGAAATCTAAAAATGAAAGGTGTATACTATTCAATTTTTTTTACTTTTTCATTGTTTTATATGTAACTTTATCACACAGGTCTATGTATTTATCCTCGAGCCATAATTCGTATAGATGACAAGGATGCTACCCATCTGCTCATAATGAAATGGGTGAGGTAGGGCTCAAATTCATAATGCTTTAATCGCTAGGTTACCTTTTAATTGGAAGTGACTTTCTATTGCTTAGAAGATTTTAAACAAAGTAGGGTTATGTAGGTGTCATTACCAAGGTTTGATTTGATAATTTCGAATAAATTGAGCATTGGGTTGATTGTTATAAATAAATAAAAAATAATAATAATATATTTGTAATATCACAATGAGTAGAAAATTGGATTTTCTGACGTTTCGTGGCTTAGTGTAAGTCACTTCTTCAGAGAATAAATAACCAAATTAAAATTAATCCAAGTTTAATTTGGTTATTTATTCTCTGAAGAAGTGACTTACACTAAGCCACGAAACGTCAGAAAATCCAATTTTCTACTCATTGGGATATTACAAATATATTATTTTTTTTATTATTTAAAAGTAGGGTTATGTCATAAAAAATTCTACAAGTCAGAAAGTCATCCTGAAAAATGTTCGACACTGTTAAAACGGAAACTGATCAGCCCACTTAAACATGACAATGTCACTCATCTAATTTGTGAGTATTACTGATTGATATATAGAACGATGTTAACTGCGTGTTAGTTTTCTCGTTAATAACAAACACGAAGCTGATGGACTGTAAACATATATTGAAATCACGAAGCGATCGAAGTTAAACAACCAACTTTGATTAGTTCGTGATTTCAATGAAATTCAACAATCTCTATAACACTGTAATGATAAAATATGTGTTGGATAACCTTCCAAAAATACTAAATAGTTGAAATTGCTTATTAGTTGAGAAGAACAAGTGTTTTATGAGCTTAAATCAATTAGTCTATAAAGATTCAATTCACATATATACAGCACAAGTATATATATCGTACAACTAACAATTCAAATTATCGGGCTGAATTCTAAACGTATGATTAATTTTGAATAGAAAATACGAGTTTCGGTTTATCTACTCAAAGTCTACTATCTACAATATTACGGTTGTCCATGTTTTCTATTGATTTCAACTTCGGTATTAGTAATTAAATGTATAATTGATGGAAAGAAAAGTAACTTACTCAGTTGAATATAGCTTGCAGATAATACAGTAAAGAAAGGTATTCAATTGGATGGCTGTAAACACAGCTTTCAAGTACACTGACTTTGTTTTCCCATGGTTTAACCAATTAATAAATATTGTAGATAAGCCATTTTTAACAGCTATAATATAAAGAAGTTAATTATAATTACTGAATGCAAACAAGTTCAATACTGAATGAAATTCAGGTGTTTTTTTTTCAAAGTATCGAGGTCTGCATTGCAATTTTCACAAGGTTTAGAAGTCTCCACGTCTCTACGTGGCTCATACCAGCCATCAGTAACTTCACAAACTTTCCTGATTAGGACATGTGTAACGTATGCTTACCAAGACGAGTTATTTTAGCTGGTGAAAGTTGGGTAAGGTCAAACCAAGATTCGGTATCAGTCCATAAAATGACTGACTGTTGGCCTGAGCTGTGCTAGTAGATGCGGACTACCTAATTAAGGTCCATATGATAACCGTGGCTAGTAGTTGCTACAATGACACAGATGCATACACTCTTTGTCTTCCTCTGGATCTTGAATCCCATTATTCGTCGATACATATCTTTCCGCTATGTCTTTTTAAACCATATTTTCAGTATTTAGTCTTTCTGACTTCCAATACTACCACAACCCTTTAGACTCCCACAATTCATCTTTTTGTTTCTATCTCGTCGTGCTGATGTGGCAAAGCACATCATTTTTCAATGATGTCTATTTTAATACTTTCGACGCAACCGCGAACTGTTAGAAAGACAGAATCTAACCTATGATGAATAAATATTTAGGGAGAAAACTCGGTATCCGTAGTGATACATATAACTTATGTCCATAAAATGTAAAAAGATTTTCATGTAAAAAAAGTCTGTAACTTACTTTCTTGTATTGCGTGTGTGACAATATTTTGTTCAGGAATGGTAACAAATTCTTCAACATGTTTGTCCAACAAATCTTTAGCATCCCAACCAAGTATTGACAGTGAACTGAAGAAATTTGGGCAACAATAAATAAATATAGGATGAAAAATATAATACCATCAAGAATAACTGCGTACGTATGTTTAAAAGTGCATTGAAATAGTTAGGAAAACTCAAGAGAAAGTGAATAAAAATGTGTTTAATATGTATATATTGTAGATTGATGACTATGAGTTATTTAAAAACATAGACCCAGAAAGTTGTTAAAAAAGTTAGAGATTGTTACGGTACTTCTACCCCGAGAACAATGATTAGATGTTAATGTAGTGTATGCACAGTTTTGGTGTTTAATCCCACTCGGAGATACGGAAGAACGAAGCACTGCATGAAACGGGCTACAGAGAGATGATGGAAAATCACAAGTATAGGGGGCTTTATACAAACACTATTGGTAATACCGACGAACGAACAGACACTAGGGTCACAGTTTATATTAAAAAGCATGTCTTCCGAAGATGAAATAGATGGTGTTGACGATAAACCGATGTCAGTCGAGTGTACTGGTAAAAATTTTCTCTTGGGTAAACCTTTTGAACTAGTTAGAAGAGGATGGATTATGATAAAACAGCTATGTTGCAAAAAAGCCTCGAGATCTAAAGCCGTTTCAGCCAATCGTAAGACAATTGTATATGATTTATTGTATTGAAAGGCAGATTTTACATAGGGTATGTCAACTTAACATTAAAAGCAGACTGATTTGCGATACGGTAGACGAATTTATGTTTCGGTGCTGCATTTGTTGGTGTAGAAAATCTAAATGCGTTTTTCTTTATTCAGCTTGAGGAAAATAATATTTGTATTTACTTACTGGGTAATTGACATTCAAGTTAAAGTAGATGTAGGACCTGTAGCAATTCTTGAAAAAGTGGTTATACAACGGTATTTTTGCATAAACTGAGGGTTGCATTTGTATTTTATTTTACATTAATGATTTGTAAAGGGTGTATTATTTGGGAGTGTTTTAATAAGTCTTATTTGGGATTGGATTAACTGAATATATAATTACGTGCACTTATCCACTGTAATCCACATTTAACAATAGATTTCTATATTATCACTGTTATTAAGAGTATAAGTTTTGATCTGATAAACGAATTTCCGGTTGTAAAAATGAATAAATAGAATGGTTATTGATAGGTAATATTCCATGATACCATACGCCTGAGTGATGGCTGCTGACAAAACCACTAATCAAATGAATAGGTCTTTTTTCTAATAGAATAGTATCTTTATATATCAAATATGTTGACAGCTTAGATTGACTCGTGAATTCAACTTTGAAAATATTGTGGTATATGCTACTTATGCCTGTCGACATAAGTAGTATGTTACACCAATCAAAAGTTGAATGGCTGGCAGTAGAAGGTTAAAAAGATCGAGTTGAAGAAAACAGAAATGGAAATTGAAAGGAATTGTGAACTGGAAGGATCATACGGAGTGTGAAGGACAAATGATGGGATTTTACAAATGAATTATTAAATGTATGGTTCTCATATTTTACCAAGATATTCTGTAGTTTTGTATTAAACAATGAATTAGTCGTCCCCACCTGTGTTCTCGTTCATTACAAAAATGAAAAACATAAAGGTCATAATGTTAAGTGACTCGTGAATTCAACCGTTGAAGTACTACAATCTCCACAATAATCATGTGCTCACTAGTGACTAGGTTCAAGATGAGTTTCCTGGAGTTCTAGCCACAAGCCGTGACCAGTGGAGTCCAATCCATGTTGAGTGCGAAACATTTGTTCACCTCAGACAATGAATGAAGAGTTGCGCAAGATCATGGACCGATCGAATTTAACCATTAACAACGTTAGATGCCTGCTCAGTGGTCTAGATGTTAAGTGTTTACGCGCGAGACTGAAGGTCCTGGGTTTGAGTCCCGCGTGTGGGATCGTGGATGCGTATTGCTGAGGAGTCCCATACTAGGACGAAATAGTCGTCCAGTGCTTTCAGGTTTTTAATGGTGGACTAGCTTAGATTGACTACTGAGTTTAACTTAGGAAAAATATGCATGATTAAATGTCATCGGAAATTGAAGAAATCAGTCCTGCGGGTCTTTCACTCTGCAGTTAATTAAACTTGATCATTAGACCTAATGCTTTTCGATTATATTATACTGTTATGTAATAAATGAAAACAGTCAATAACTTATTCAGAAGCAAGAAGAATAGTAGCACTCACTTTCCAACAACTTCTGTTATTGACAAAGTATTCACTCCAATGCGTAAAGTAACATGATCAGAACTGATAGTTTTATTAGGTGACGTGGGTTTGTCAAATGAATTATCGGGAACAGTTGGACAGGCTATATCCAAAGGGCGACAGACACCACGGAATAAATAATAAGCTTCGGAACAATCACTATCATCTAATTGTACGGGAGTAATAATTCAAAAATTATCAGTACGACAATAATAAATAAACATCATGATTAAGTTTAGAATGCATAAAGTTAAATCTGATCAACAGGCATAGGCAAATGCCATCCAGATTAAAAAAAACGTAGCTGTGTGTACAAAAGAAATATCTCCAACCTCTCCTCCTGCAATGACCAATATCAGGACTATTTAATTAATAGTAATCTTAACTAGTGAATTAGATAGTCTGACTAATGTACTTACAGCCGTTCTTAGTTAAATATAATCCCCTTTGTTATATTTACTCACATATCTTTATATTATTATCATTATTGGTTTAGCATTGCTATTAGTCTCTCGAACATAGGATAAATCTACCTAGCACTTACCACTTACTGATTTCATATAACTTTATACACAATATAGTCTTTTATTGGACATTGGAATAAATTTGTAATTGTACTATTAGTTCTCTCATCCTATGTGACCCATATTTATTCTGCTAATGAATCTCATAATTTCATTTAACGTATAAGCTGATTCAAGTTGACATTGCAAGTTAGTCATCTCAAAATTAACAATTTTGTTTTATTTAACAATCCTAAGTTCACATGATATGATTTTTAAATGATATATTTTGCCTCAAAGGTGACAACTTTTTGGATTATAATTATCTCTTTATGGTTCGAAATGATTTTTGGAAGAAAATGTTAACAAGAAGAATAAATCTATCAGCAAACAGAAACATGTGTTGGTTTTTTTTCTCTAAATATAATAACGCATTTAAACAAACAATAACGTACTTTGATAAACAATATCCCCACAGAATTCTATAAATCGATACAGTTGACCATCAGAACCACGTATACAATTTTTTACTGGAATACCAGATCCGCAACGCATGGCAATGATGAAATTTCGTGAAATGAGGTCTATAAAAGCGTAAATAACAAAAACCATAATGTCTAGAATAAGAGGAGAATAAGCAAATGTTGAAATGTGTTGCTTAAAATTACACGCTGAATATTCGAATTATTGAGTCTCGTTTTTTAGCGCAACTAGTCATTTGTTATTGAATCTTAGAAAAATAAGTCTTGATTTATTTGTTTATAAAACAAATGTCTGAAGATTTTTCATGCACTAAGATAAATAAAGTAGAGTGGAAGGAGTCAACAACAAAGGCATAGCGGTACTATGCGGTATACAGCATCCATACCTTAAGAGAATGGAGCAATGTCGTTTGGGTGTTATGATGAATACATCGATGGTTAACTATTAACAGTTAATTTTTTATTTCAGTAAACGTCTACTGTAGCTTGACTGTTTTTTGGATCCAATAACAAAATTTCTAGGAACATTGAGAAAAATAATTTCAGGTGAATTACCAATGGACAAAAAGTAGGTTACCAACCAATTCGGTGGCTTTTAAGAAAGGATTAATTTGAGGAAAGCTTTTCTTACCAACCGATATCATTAAAAAACCATTAAACTTAAAAAGTGGACCAATAATTGTTCTTCCCTGCGATGAACACCTCTCGAACTTGAAAATAGAGAGTCTCAACGAAATTTTAAATACTGTTCAATCTAATCTAACCGCAACACACTGAATGGTGATTTGTTAGATTCATGATTTCTTTACAAAATATTCACATTCACATACATACATGATTTGCTGAAATTTCACACTGTATACATTTATAAATCATAAGCAGTTATGAATAATATCAATACATAGAGATTTGTCAAGATTGTAGGACTTTTGTACTTTAAATCATGAACTGATTTTAACTAGAACATCACTCAAAACCTAATGGCATTGAACTGAGTTACTCGGAAACTCCTCTGGCATTTGAATGATTTTATCTATACTGAGAATAATCATATGTTAATTAATAACTGAATTCAAGATGCGACTCCGAGCATTCTAGTGCGAAGCTATAATCAGTGGAGTTCAACAACGTCGAGTGGGAGATTGTTATCCATTGCATGTAATGGATGATAATTGGGTAATATTGTAAGTTGATTGAAGTCATATATGTACACCGTCGGATGCCAAATCAACTGTAAAGCGATCGCTTGCGAGACCGAAGATTCTGCGTTTCTGTCCCCTATGGAGACATCATGGATGTGCATCACCGAGGGATTTTATACTAAGACAAAACAGTTGTCCAGTGCCTCCCAGTTTTTAGTAGTGTTCTATCTAAGATCAGTTCGTGATTTAAACTATAGAATTTATAAATATTCAGGTAACTATAAAAAGTTATTATTTGACAATAATTTTTTGGTGTTGATTTTTTGAACCGTGCCATTTCTCAATGTTAAAAGGTTACAAAATCTATTGTGCAATATTTCATGTTCGAAAATAGTTAACTGCTCTTATTACAGTAGCGCACTCAAAATCTTATTCAACAAACTCTCAATTTCGATTTCCGAATTGGTAGTGTTAGATAATAATAATAATAATAATAATGCGTTTATGAAAACAACTGAATGATTGACAAATTAATTGGAAGATCGGGTGGTGGGTACGGTGGTAATTATTGAGAAAGATATTATAATTATTAAATGAATGAATTGACACACATTTAGTTACAGAGTTGATTCATTGCATAAGATAATACAGCAGCAACAACCTTATGCAGCAAAAAACAAACCAGATCCCAACTGAACAGGAAATTAAAAAAAGAAGCTGGAGGCGCATAGGAAACACATTGCGGAAATCATCAAACTGCATCACGAGGCAAGCCCTAACTTGAAATCCTCAAAGTAAAAGGAAAGGAAGCACACCAAAGAACTAATACTACGCCGGAAATTCAAGGGTGAAATCAAAAGAATGAACGGCATTTGGCAACAACTGAAAGGGAGAGCCCAGTATAGAGTTAGTGTGAGAATCCTAGTCGGCACTCTATGCCCTATGGAGTAACAGGCGTAAGTAATAGTATAATATTAGAGAATGCTTTACGAGGACTGATAATTCGAAGTGATAACAGTTACGTAAGTGTGAAGTGAATGTTACAGTTTTATAACAAAAAAACGGAAAGAATTTTTTTGAGAAAAAGAAATCGGCAAAAAAAAAGAAAATGTATAGTAAGTCATTTGTAACTCAGTCTAGTGTTGAATATTCCGATAATGATTGCACAAGTTTCTTATGAGCACAGCGGTTAGATTCGTTAATAAGGGTGTCGATGTGTTTAGCTATATATATGAAAGATGTATGCGTAAACTGTGCGCTAAATTCAAAGAAAACTGGTAAATGATTTGAAAGGTTTTGTTTATGTTCACTTGATATTTCGTATCAATCAAGATGGTAAAAATAAGTCACTTAATTAACCTTGTACGCTAAACAGGATTATGGCAAATGAAACATACTAACATCGTTTAGTGAAAGATTTTTGACTTAAAACTGACCTGTATTTCAACGACATAACCATTGGATAATAAGTTTAGATCGTATAAAAGTGTTACACATGCGGTTTATAGTCTAGAAAAAAAGAGCTTCATAGATTTGCTTGAGATTCATCAGTATAAGAGAAAATAGAATATTCACGAAAATAATTTAAATATGAATACATATTTTACAATGGTATAAATATATTTTACTATTACTTACGTCCATCTCTTGCTTGTTGCATCTCTGAACCATAAAACATGAGGCTATCAGTGATAATTCTTTTTGTATTAACACTTGGTTCAGCTAAATCATAAATTGTTTTGCCTAGAAAACTACTCTAGAACAAAATGAAAAACAAACAGCAAATAATGTTAGCATAATATAAAAGACAATTGAAAAAATTATTAGTAGTCAGATAGCTTTATTGATAATGCTAAAAAATTTTCTAATGATAATTAAGGAATAACTAACGAAAAACATACGCGACTTGATAACCTTTAATTTCGGATCATAATTTAATCTGATTACAGTAGTCTGCTCAGTTGCTTAAGTATTATAATGCATTTTTCGGTTTACGACTTGTTTTAACGAATTAATTAAGTATTTTCAACTCATAATGTAAACACAAGTTCATCAAACCTCATAACTTATTGTGGTGCTAAATATATAAGTTTATGAGGTGGAAACACCATAGTGGTTAGTAAATTTTCTACCTTGGTCACTCATTGTAAGAATTATATCAGTTACTAGTCGCGTATAGTTTTGTCTGTCTATTTTAAACCACATTTGTGTGTATGTGAGCTTGTGGTCAGTTTGCATCCAACTACCCGAAATGAAGTGGACGAATCGAGATTCCAGCCTACGACTGATCGGCTGAAAATTGAATGCTATAGCCACCAAGTCACCGGTCTTCAGAAGAAAAAGACACAATTATATTGATATTCATGCGTAAAATATACATTACAAAGGCTTTACGATAATGTGAGGAACATCCATATCTCGTAATGAGACACGTTGTAAAGGCAGAACTGTCGAAAAACCTGTACAGTTGGAGATAACCGGTATATAATCACTAGTGAAAGTTTTATTTAACAGACTATTCGAATTTTTACAAGTAAAATGTATGTTCAACAATGATTAATTGTAATATATTCTATTTTTGCCGATGATCCTCTACAATAACTAAACATAATATAGAGTGGGATCGCTTTTTCATTAAAATTTGACTCATAGATTTTTAATTTACAAACGACCATTTGATGCTAAATAATTGTGTGACGCATTTTTGTTGTAATATTGTATCAGGTCTTGATGCTTAAATAAAACGTAACCTATTTCTTGAATAGTCACTTGAATTATGACAAGAAAATATTCAATAACGAAAGAGACCCATTGTATCACTGAAGAAAGAAGGTGATTCAGTAAAGAGAATGAAATCATTGGATAGGAAATATTCTAGGTTGAGCTGCTTTCATTCTTCTTTATAGAAATTGCTATTTGTCGGACAAATAATTTATTGATGTAGACACGAAAATCACTACACGTTACTGTGTATTACTGAAAACTGTGGACTTGCACTTAAAATATTTCAGAAAAAGCACTGGTTTTTGGATTAATAACCTTAAAATGTAAGAGTAGACTTGGTTGACGAATAATGGTTTTATTCATACTGCCTTTCAATAGCATTGTAAACTTAATTCATAAACTGATAGTCTTTACTTAGATTCTTCCTGTGAATTTCATTTCGAAAGTTTCATTCGCATAATTATAGGTTACATTACTACTCACTATGGTAGATTCAGTTAAACAGTCGCTAGATAAAATATAACACAAGCCCCAGAAAGCAAATTCTAGAGCCAATCTAGACTATCAAGTTATTATTAGTGATCATCTGTACAGTTTCATATTCAATGAGTCTTAAGTGGATACAAAAAATACCAGGGACCATAGTGTTTGAGAGTCACTTATGCTAATCTAAACACTTATGTGACTAGGTTTAGATTTTCAAATACATTATATTTGCTTATGAACTCCATTTCGTTAAAAATGATAACAACAACAATACAGTTCAAAACACATGAAAATAATCATTGAAAAACTAACTTGAGGAATATCAAGTACTTTTTCAGAGTTTTCTTCATACAATATTTCACCACTGGAACATTTGACATGTATACCAAATCCATTAATAGTCTAATAGTATATATGTATTAAAAATGTATATATATATATTTGATAAGTAGGTGAAATGAACAAATCTTACATTGATAACAATTCGCGAATACTCTTCATCATTGATGATATATTCCCTTTTTCCTAATTTATCTAAACAAAGTATAGAGTGTATTTAAAAAGAATGACAATAATAGTGATGATAATAATAATAACAATAATGATGGTCATTATGATTATTACAGCAATTAATAAGCATCAAACATACTGTTATAATGAATAAGTCGTTCGGCTCCAGCAAGAAAAATGGATAATTTATCTTTACATTGTGAATGTGGTACTTGACGGTGTAGAAATTCTGTTTCTAATTTCATTCGTTCACGACGTTTCCTTTCGATTTCACTGTGACTTTCTCTGTATAGTAAAAGAAATTAAACGTCAGGATAACAATAATAGTAAAATAAGTGGTGAATAAATTGAATGATTATGGTTAAGAAAACTTTATGTTTTTTCAAGTTATTAAATAAATAATACTTTTTGAAAAGTAGCTCACCCTTACCATGTGTTGAGATCATAGACAAGTATATATATATATATATATGTATATATATATATATATATATATATATATATATATATATAGAACAAAGCAAGTCACTAGACATTAAAATTTAAATTCTCAGTAAACTATTTCATTATTTATTGATTTTAGGCACGTCTGTTGGATTGTTATTGAATGAACTAGAAAACTGTCAATAATAAGAACTGAACACTAGAGGGTAACTAATTTATATAGTAATCAATGAATAGTTGCAACGTACTGAATAAACTAATAATATAATGTCAAGATACAGAATATGAGAAATAAAGTAATACCATTGCGAAAGAGTAATGATAGTGCTAATAAATAGAATGAAGAAATAAAGACATGACCAGGAGTTACATTTTCCTTGGCAACTTAAGGATCCTAAAAAATACACTCATAAAATTTAAGTCATATAATTAATAATTTCTACAACAATTAGAAAGGATTGACAAATTATGAATTACATAATGTGCCCAATTAAGAAATGACGAGTTCAGTGCTTCTTCTAAATTTTTCTTGAGAGCCGAAGTGAATGGGGTGCCACTTAGAAGCAGATATTCCAACTACGTGTGACAAGAAACATGTAATAACTAGAAAATAATCAAAAGCCTACTGAATCGAAGTAGCAAATTTATTGCATGATTCCTAAAGGAAAAAATTAATTAATCAACTGACTGTTCATTGAATACATTTTAAATTAATTGAGTGGAGTACAGAACACAACTCGAAATCATATGATTGTAATTAAAGCTTGCCATCTTTTGTAAAGTTTATGTTCCACAGGTGCAATGCAGCTGATGCACAGAAATGAAATTAAGATACTTATTAAACCTGTGAGTTGGTACATAAGTTCACATTAAATAATATTTACAGAGTAGAAAACAAAAAACGTCTTACTTTTGCAATTTTTCTTTATTCTGTTTACGAAACGTCTGACCCTTTTCCATATTATAGAGGTGTAGATGTTGTCTATGTAAGTAACAAAATCTGTTTATTTAGAAAAGTTCAAGCAAATAGATAAGAATTACCAGTTTGACATAAAACTTTTGCGCTAGAAATAAAATTTGGTTAATTTAACATATAGTACAAACAATCAGCTAGGTATTATACCATTTTTAAAACTGTGGAAAAACAATGAATTAACAAGAGATTGTGCAGTGTTATCTTTGGGATTTAATGAATCTCCCACAGATATTCAGATTCACCAAGACAGTTTGAATGTTTGAGGGTTTTGTAAATTGATTTCAGCTGAGATTTTTTCGCAAAAAATTTATGGATGCAAAGTATGTAAATGTCTGTGCATGGCTGTCACATGCTACCTACATACACAAGTTCCACAAAACTTGACTATATTCATAACTGTATTAATACAAATGTATGGGTCGGTAGCTACAAAACAAGTGAATAAACTAAACAATTTAGATGGTTCGGTGTAACTGATTATATACATGACAGAAATTCGACTAAACTAAAAACATTCCACACTTAGCATTACTGTAACCAAACATAGATGGTGCTTTTGAGAAAGCATTAAGCAAAATTTTATTCATATTTTTAAATACAATTTTATGGATAAAAATAATTCATTTGTTTCGGTTACTTTGGTAATTATTTTATATCCTTTCTGGTAAATCTTCATAAACTGAGATAAACCGGATGCGTGCCACGTATACACAACCACTGGCTGACATGAGATATTGTTTAGTGGAGGAGTACATGGAAAAATAGTTAAGGGTGCCCAAACAAAAATATGAGATTGATCATAAGCCGCTGGTCTGAGCCATCTTAGTAGATACAGAATACCTGGTTGGGGTCTGGGAACAACCGTAATCCGGAGTTGGAGATGTTGAGTAACTTTGTTCAGAATCGGTGTGAGTGGTGTAAATAGACCAATTTTTTAATCTTTCCTCAAGCCCTAAGCTTTAATATACTTCCATACCTTATATTTCCCAATTTATCTTTTTTTCTCAAGACCAGTTGTCAAATAACTAATTCTTTTCATTAACACACACTACAGAAATTTCAAATATTTATTAATTACATCAAGCTTTCTTTACGTAAAACGGCAACTTGGGCTAACAAATTTTTGCTAGGCTGATTACAACCGACTGAATTCTGACTTCGTAGACATACTATTTACTTGGTATGTGAAGTGAGACCGCTAGTAAGGAAAAAATATGTAAAACAGTTACAAGGATCGCTCTTGCATTTACCGGTTATGATGAACATTAATCTGACAAACATGTGTATCTGTGGTATTATACAATATAAGTATAAAGATATAAAATGATCAAGACAAATCTTAGAGTAGTAGAAGCAATAACAGTACCAATAGCATTATAAAGGACTAATCATAGACAATATGATTCTAGAAAATGAGCTTGTAGAGTATAAAATTGCAAGGTATTCCGAAAACCTAAGAAGAAACAAAAAGTGAATGCATTTGCACCATTTTAACTAATTTTGATTTGTTACTCATTATCTCCACTCATTGCCTTCGATAATCGCGAGGACCCCAATCAGGTAGTCTGGATCTACCCCACATGGCTCAGAGCAAAGGTTATTGGCTTCACGTACTGATGTATTTGCTTGGCTACCCACAGCTTTCTCTCAAACCACCCTACATCAGAAAATATCTCGCCAACGTAGGTGGTGGTTAGGTATATAATGCATACAGCCGCTATCTAAGTCGATAAGGATTTATTTTGTCGCCAGACGACTTCCCATCTTTAAAATCCCATGTCTGAACTCAACATAGATTACTCGGTGGTCCTAACATATATGAGCAACACCTCAAAAGCACTTCTATTCAAAATTTAGTGATATACGAATATCATTTATTTTTGGTGACCGTATTTTGCACTAGCGAAGTGGAACACCTAAAAATGAAACATTTACTGACCAGTAGAAATCTCAGAAACTGTTAGCAGAGTGCTTCAGGACAAGGTGAAAAATAAAATATAAACAACTACATAGCTGAAAACGACCTATACTGAGATAGTAGTGTTAAATTTCTTAAGACATTGTCACGTACTGCATAAATAGTCCACAAACATTTTGCATATATGTTTAAAATGAGTTGACATGGGAAACAACTGAACATTAAGCTGAAAATCACGTAAAATTAGAAAATATGGTGATGAATCCTAATATATTGTGAAAAGCAAAGATGAGTGCATATGAATATGGGAACACTGTACATATCCGTTGCAAAATTCTTTTAATACGTAATCACCACGCGGTAGACAAGTGAATATATAGTTGCCCGACATATCAAAAGAAACACAAAATGAGAAAACAGAAGAAAAAAAGTGTCTGAAAGTTTCGTTTCTAATTTTCCAGAGATAGTATCAGTTCTCTGTATTAGGAAGTCGACAGCTTGTGCAACTGAATGACATTTAACTGGCTCAATAGACTTTTCAAACATGTAAATCTGGCGAGACTATGATCTATGAACGAACCAATCACGTATAAGATAACAGGTCTCGGATTTTGGCGCGGAATTCCCTCATTCATCCGGATAAATAGAGTTTTGTCACTATCTGAGTTCAGTTCATGATGAAAAACCAAAATCTAATTTTTAACCTTAATCATCAGCTGTAAATTCTAATTCTAATTCCTCACACATGTTTATAGTCCTCATTTGGTTCTGGTTATTAGATGGACACTCACAAGGTCAGCCTGGAGTCGCTCAAAGTTCGCCCGTTAATTATAGTCTCACCACAAAGATCTCTAATATCAATATACTCACTGGATAACAAGAATCTAGTCAACGAAGTCCAAGATAAACTAAACTCAACACCGGTTCGGCCTAGACGACCTAAATATGCGCCCAAAATCGACCCTCTTCGAAATTCAATACTAGTCTTCATTCCTCAGTAATAAGAATAGTAGGTTGGTCAACCTGTATTCACTGATAGGGCTGATACCCCTTGTTCGGGTAAGGCGATCCAATGATTGACTACTCAATGAGAAAAACGGGACCTCACTTTAAGTTTATTAGATTGCGGTTTCTGAACCTTCTTGTTATGACCTCGGAGATTATTAGTGCTGGAGGCAGCAAAAAGATAAGACATGTTAACACCCAAATCATAATTAAAGATACGAAATGCCAGTATAAGGTCACTTCATGTCCCACGGTACAACAAGGGGAAAAGATTTAGGCGTTTTAAACGCTCATCGTAAGGGGTTCTAGAAAGACCCTTCACTAATTTCGTTCCCACACGCTGGACACGCTCAAGGGAGTTAGTATCCTTTACCAGACACGGGCTAGCTGCTTGGATACAGTACTCTAAATTTGGTCTAACATATATGAGATATAAAATTCGAAACGTTTCCTCGTCAAACGATTTGAACGCTCGGCGAAGTGACCATGACGCACGAAAACCTTTGACAGCGGCTGCTTTGCAATGCATAGTTCTTTTTAAATCATGACTTAATACTACTCCTAAGTCTTTATGCTCATGAACGCATGGAAGAGGTTTACCCTCAATAGTGTAACGGTAACTATTACCGTGACCGATGTACATTAGCACACTCTCCCTAGCATTGATTTCTAAGCCTCACTCTCGAACCCAACTAAATAAATCGTATAAGTCAGTTTGAGGATCCAGATGATCAGCCGCACTTTTTATTGTTCTCCAGAGTGAAAGGGACATGTTGAAGAGTGTCGCGAGCGGTTTTGAAATAATGTCCGCAAGAGATGACAGCAACCGTGGATGTCACCCGTCAGGGCTCGGTATCTCACTAGGTTTGAGGTTAGTTATCAACGGAAGGACAGTTTTTTCAGTCACCTGTACAGATTCAATGGTTGGTATCTCGGTGTGAGTGGGACAAGTATTTGTTACAATAAACGTAGAGAAGACTTCGCTAAAATAGTTTGAAAAAGTCTCAGCTTTTGCTCGATCTGATTCAGCTAGTAATTCTGAATTTTCGTGTGTCAGTAACGAGGGAATACCATCACTAAGTTTCATTCGCCGTTTAACATACTAAAACAATCGTTTCGGACAAGTGCGGCTATCATATACTAACTGTCGTTCGTAAGTGGTACGGGATTTGGCTATGGTTCTTTCACAGATATTACGGAATTTTCGGTACTCACGCCTAAACGGTGCATGACCTGTCAACAAGAATAAGTCCCAGAAGTGTTTCCTACGCTTTAACAGCTTCCGGGTTTCCTTATTAATCCTCGGAGGGCAATGTGATAGCCTACGTGCTGACCATGGGATAAACGGCGGCGTTAAACTTATTCCATTAATCTTTGATCAATCCATCCGCGTCGACCGACCAATCAGTCGAGATAGCACAGTTTCTGATCGCCGGAGTATTGGCTCGCCAGATATTGGGATGGGGTGGAGCAGATACGAATTGTATACCATGTGTCCTAAACTTAAAGTGAATTACAACGTGATCACTGTGCACTAGTGGGGGAAGGTGCTGAATATCAAAGACATCCTCACAGTGGTGGGTGAGGGAGAGGTCCAGCAGTGACGGATCATGATTGAAATCAATATGTGTCGGTTTTGTGATACATTACACAAGTGCACACTGAATAACGGTTGATAAAAGGTTGTTATCGAAACCACCACCTGGAGCTGTAAGCTCTAGCCAGTTGATATGCGGTGCGTTGAAGTCCCCAATGATGAGACAACATTCTGCCATACTCCAAGAACAGATATGTCTTAGGATAAAGTCGTCAGCAAGACAAAACGGACTACTGTATATTCCCCCTATAGTCACTAACCCATTTCTAGATTTGATCTTACAACATGCGACCCCACATGTGCCACTGATATGAGCCTCCGATATGGTTGACTGTATACGAAAGTGATCCCTAACGTATAATATTATACCTCCTTATTTGCGACTTGAAACTATCACTTCTAATACAGATATAATCTGCAATGAAAGGAGAACAGTCTATATCTACTGTGAACCAAGTTTCTGTAACAACGATTATATCGGGACATAATTCTTCCACCATCAGACTTAGCTCGGACGTTTTGTTTCTAAGACTACGAGCGTTCGTGTAACCCACACTTAAGGTGTTTTGGCAACCAATCGTTCTACCCATACAGGCCTCGGAAGCATTGGCTTCCAAGACCTGACTACCCGAAAACCCTTAATGCTAAAGTGATTTTCGCCATTTAATTTGCGAGTCCTCAACTCCGTAAGGGCATTCTTCCACTTGATTCGATCCTCAAGCGGCCAATCTGGTCAAATACGGATATTTGAGTCACGAGTTTTTAGCGCGTTTTTCAATAATATGTCTCTTTCTTCAAAACTCCCGAGAACCAGCTTTAGGATTCTTCTTGGTTGGGTCTCGCCCCCAACCCATTTACCAAGTCGTATTACTTTCGTAGTATGTACCTCTGAAACCTCTTCAGGTGGTACATTTCTTACCACAGACTCCACTAAGTGCAGGTCATGTACATGTCTTCTAGCAGGGTCATTGTCTTTCGACTCCTCTAGATTCCAAATAATTAAACTAGGGAGGGGTTTAGCTTCTTTTGAAACTGTGTTCACAGCTTTCGACCGTGACGTTAGATCTTGAACTTTAACTACTGGTATCTTACGATTCGTTTTTATTGTAACAAAGTCCTGGGAGTCGAGCGAGTGACTCACAACAATGTTAGACGAAGCTTTACTATGGGACTTTGGCGGAGTGGTCTGAGAGTCCACCAAGGACTTATCAAGTAGACGGTCACTAGTTTTAGCTGTCTCTCCTACTCTTCTGCGTTTCCGTGTCATCGATATTCCATCAGTCGTAGCATCCACCTTACAACCATTCGGGACAATAATTGTTTTATCCGGGTCACCGGTTGCTGCTGTAGCAACATGGCCACCAATATCTAATGAGGTGTCACTCTTTGTTTTGGGGTAGACGGTTTAATCGCGGGTTGTACAGTTAGATGTCTGGTTTGCGCCGTGACAGCACTTACGACACTAACGCAATCTTCGCCATCAGTACCCATGTTGCCAGTACAGTCCTCATCAACCTTCTTACTAGCCAACACCAGGAGACTAATTGCTTCCTGGATAAGTAATGTTTTGCTCGAGCAAAAAAACTACAAAGCCAATGAGAGTTGGGTTGTGAGCACCTTGTATATGCAGTGGGGCTTAATCGGGTGCACATCTTATGGAACCACTTATTACACTCATCACATTGCATCCCTTCCCCCACAGGAAATAAACAATATGGTTGTCCACATTTATGAGAAGATCTAGCCATCTTGAAAATCAACTAGAACGGTGACAAAAACAGGATATGTAAAAGGATTCTCAAGCCTTAACTAAATAAATCAAGTAAAAGTCGACCAAGTATGCTTCAATGCAATAAATACACAAAAGCAAAATCAAAACACTCAATACAATATCACTTTAACTGGGGTAGATGCAATTAAAGTGAAAACAGTAGTTTTGATGCGTAATTTACGATCAAAACAGTTAATTAACTCAACGAGAAACAACACCACTGTCCTTTTAAATAGAGCGCGTCAAGCACCAAATATTATTTAGATTAGAACAAGCAGTTCGTTTAAAAACATATAGATAGGATGTAACGATTATTATTATTATTAAAGGGTCTATGTATAATAATCAAGATTAAATACAAAATTGTTTGGTAATTGAATATTTGGTCCCATGTTATGGACTGTAAACAGTATTCATTCCTAATTAAAGATCTTTAAACGAAAAAGTTTCAATTATTATAACCAGTAAGAGGCTTTTAGGTGTGAAAGAGTGGGGCGTGCACTGCAGCTTGGCTTTAGGTGTTGATCTTTTACCTTCCAATGTTTACGTTCGAAGTGAATGTATATAACGGCTTTTTAGCGGACAAAAAATATGCGCATAATATTAGAACCCACTTTTGGTCATGAAAACTACTCAAAATGATTGCTTTAGCAAGCATTTGACAATAATGCAGAATTTATTAGAGGAAACTGAACACTACAAACTTCTGGATCACAACATGGACCTATGATAAACAAGACAGCCAGTTCAGAGGTTTCGCATTCTTTGTCTGTATTTGATTGAAAATTAATTTTTTCTTTGTCATTAAAGCACTCGTCCTTGTTTACCTAAGATAGAAATCGCTGACAGGCACATCGAAATCAGTATTTTTTTTTCCATCATATTCGATAAAATCTTCAAGGATGTTGAATTATTCTTTTAGAAAACTGTGGTAATGTATTATGTATATTACGTACCAGTTTAACAAAAACATTTTGAAACTCATTTTTATCAGCTAAGCTGATTTCTCTAGATTGAGTGAATTTAAGCCTCGTATTAGAGGTGTGTTTCTATCCAACGACAGCATATAGGTAACTGTATACGCTACGACCAAAGTTCGAATGCATTTGTCTTAATGAGGAAAACGTTGTTAATTTTATTCGGGTAATCCACTGGCTGTTTAGTAAGCTACGAAACCTTCTTGAGTCATTTACAGTAGACAATTTTACCTCAACGATATCAATAAACATTAAAATGCTTAAGAATCTAAGGTACTATCTCAATAAACTAAATAAAACAATAGAGAATAATTCAATAATACCGATCAGTCACAATAAAATCGAACTTTCCTATGTCACGAAATAACTTACTATACGCCAAAAAAATCATCACTCAATATAACTGTCAATTATCTGGGATATTCTCGACAGAGTGTGCTCAAAATCATGTTCTCAAGAACCAGATTATGCAGCAGTCTTTTTGTTATAATTAGAAATATTTGAATTATTATACGAACTGGGGATTTTCGAAATAGTACAATTTACACCTCATAGAATTAGATGAACAAAAATAAATCTATTGCATTTAGAATTCCGAATCAGAGAGATATCAATTACAAAT